GATCGTAGTTTGGATTGGGTTCGAGCGCGATCTAAAAAATCTGAAGATGGAAGTTATTACATTCCCAATGAAAAAACAAAGGGAGTGTTGGATAAAATTGTAAGTAATACAAATACTTTAAATATATATATTATTGACGAGATTACTAGCTAACATGTAAATTTTAAATTTTTTTTGTGTTGAAATATAGGTTGAGAAGTGTGAAGAGATAATAAGTCAAGGCTCATTCCAACCAAAAAGGCAAAATGATGTATTGACAACAGTTCTTGGCACCAATGAGTACGGTGGCTATGTGAGAGGTGTTGGAGTGTACTCCAATATTCGGGATGTGTTTGGTAAACCGGAGAGCATAAGTCGTGGAAATTCAGCTGGGCTTGTTTCAGTTAGTGATATGGAGAAGATCATAGAGAAGAGAATATATGACAAAGTGGCTGAAAAGATTAGAAAAGAAACAATGGAAGATATGCAGCCCAAGTTTGATTTGATGCAATCCCAACTGGAATATTTGATGAAGAATGCACAAGCAAGTCCAAAAGTTGGCACACCAACTCGGAGCAGTTGTCATTCTATTGATCAAGTCAACAAACTTAAGGTAATATTGAATATCTTTAATATTTTGAATATTTGATATTCGATCTACTTGTTATTATGTCTTTTACTTTTGATTCATAGGAAAATCCAAAACAAACCCGAATGATGAATTTTGAAAGTGGTGATCAATCTGCTGTCCAATTACGACCACTTCTTGTTGATGATGATACACTGCAGCAATTGGGAGATGAATCTAAGAAATTGGTCAGACTTATTAAGAACCTGCCTTTCGATTTAGATTACATTAACGTGGATCTAGATGAGGCAATCTTCCATCATCAAGATGTGGATTTCATTCACGTGATGTTTCAAGATATTAAAGACTTGTTGACGATGCGATGGCTTGATGTGACCATATTACAAATATTTATAATGTAAGTATTTTTTATAATGTTTTTATATTTAAAAACTTGTCTTTAGTCGTTCATTTTTATTAATTATCTATATATATGTTGTAGATGTCTTAGTCGGATGTGCTCCAAAATTGGAGTTCATACAATTGGATTCCTCTGCCCAAGGACTATTTGTGTTGACTCTGTACTTGCGGATATTGATAAGGTCACAAAATATCTTGTGAATGCCATGTTTGAGATTAAGGCCACATTGAATGTGTAAGTACACACACATATATATATATATTATATTTTGAGAATTATTAACCATTATTGTTTATAAATTATTTATGATTGTATATTATAGAGCATTTCGATCGGTTGAAACTTTAGGAGGGAGAAGACCTAAAAACAACGTTGATTGGGTTCACATTGAGGTATATATATATTTCATATTTCATATTAATATTTTTATTGTTTAACATATTAATATATATACATATTTTCTAGTGGTCCTCAACAACCGGGTGGTGTGGAGTGCGGGTATTATGTGATGAGATTCATGTATGAAATATGCACTCAATGTTGGGATTCTGATGATTTAGATATCGTATGTAAAATTTATTAAAAGTAAATAGTTTTAAATTACACTTTAGTAATGTTAAAACTAATTATTTGATTATTTTAAATTTTTTTAGGAATTATTCTTTAATAGAAAGCCTTATTCAGAAGCGCAAATTGATGAGGTTCGTGAGATTTGGTCTAAATATTTTACTCAAGAATGTATATAAATGTTTGAACTATGATTTAACTATAATAGTTAATTGTAATGATGAATTGTTGGTACTTATCTAGTTTAGCTTATTACATAAGTGTTGAAGTAGTGTAGTTTAAATATGTTGAAAACTTTGAAGTGTTGGCAATTATGTATTGAAAACTTTGAAGTGTTGTGAATTGAATTTATTGGAGTTTAATTTAGTGTTAAAGTGTTGGCGTAATGATGTATTGAACTTTATTAGTTGAAAGCTTTGAAATGGTATGTAGTGGTTGTGACTGCATGTTCTGGATGAACATAATATTTTTTGTATAGGAAAAAAACTGGATTTATTAACAAATTATTATAAATTAAAAAAAAAAAAACTATAATTCGCGTCCAAAGTTCTTCAACTTTGGACGCGAATAATCATTTTAGTAAAAGAAGATGATTAATCGCGTCCAAAGTCGAAGAACTTTGGACGCGATTTACTGACTTTGCGCGTCCAAAGTTGACCAACTTTGGACGCGCAAAGTCAGTGGTCAACACTGTAATGAGATTAATCGCGTCCAAAGTTCTTCAACTTTGGACGCGATTAATCGTTTTTCGCGTCCAAAGTAGCTTTGGACGCTGATTGTATATACAATCAGCGTCCCCGACATCTGCGTCCCAGCAACTTTGGACGCGAATTGTGCTTTACTTTGGACGCGAATGACTGTTTCTGTACTAGTGAGATTTGGTTCATTAATGAATTACTTAAAAAAAAAAAAAAAAAAAAAAAAAAAAAAAAAAAACTTTCCAAGTGTAAAAAGAAACTTGGCAAACTCTCTAGTTTGAATTCAACTGTATTTTCGAGCACATTACCATTAGAATATGAGAATGATTTCTTCTAGAAAGATGTAGTCACATGAGTTACCTTTTCAATGACATCTTACTGAATTCAATCAAATATATGTAGAAGGAGTTATGCTCAAAATACTACACAATGGTCAAACATGCGAGAAAAAGAAAACTTCTCAAATTTTCTCTCTTTTTCAATGAAGATCCCCTTCAAGAGTGAATAGGAAACCACCTTGATCTTTTTAGATTTCTACAATTCTTGAATCTTCAATCTTCTTTGATTTTCATACTTGTTGAATATCTTTGATTTGACAATGCTCAATATCTTCTAAGATTAGGAAACTAACAAAATAACACACTTACAACATTTCCGAATCTAAATTAGTTTTGACTAAAAATACGCCAATACAAATTTATTCTAACAAATAATAATAAATATTTCTCTTAAAAAACATTAAACATGTACAAAAATTACAAAATTATACTCTGTACTTATTTACAAGCTAGCAAGAAAAGTAAAATAACAAATGATGAGTCTTTGAAAAAAAAAAAAAAACCAAAACCTTTATCAGAAAGACTTGCAAGTATCTCATCCCAAGGATGGGGACAGCATAACCCTTCCCACAATTGGCTAGGCTAGTAGTTTTTCCTTTGTGTCCTCCAAATTAGTGGTGTTAGAATTGAAAACATTTTATGGTGTGGTGTCCACTCAAGTGCCACTCATTAGTAGTCATTAAAATATGAGTAGGGACTCACGTTATTCTTATTCCTGTAATACTATTTCATATTCAAAAATGAATTTAACTTTCACATTACTAAACTTGTAATTCATTTCGTACCAAAAAAAAAAAAAAAAAAAAAAAAAAAAAAACTTGTAATTCATTTACTATTTATACTATATATCCTTATAAAAAGTTAATTTCAGAAATGGTCCTTCGACTATTGATTTTTACCAATTTTTGTACTCCACTTTTAATTTAACCAAAGTTGGTCTTTTAACTATTGATTTTGTTCCAATTTTAGTCATTCTGTTAAATTTCTGTTAAATAGGTGTTAAAATTGAGGAAAAAAATGTAAAACCAAATATTTTAGTCTTTTCTTCTTCGTTCCAAAAATTTGTATTTTTTTATTGTATATTTTATTGTTGTATTAGGTGTGTGTGTGTGTGTGTTCTTCAGCAAGGAGACCTGAACAAGATAATAGGCTATGGAAGTCTTACATTAAAAAGCCTACGATATTGGTCGGACCAAGCCTTGGTGCAGCAGTTGCCATTGATTTTGCAGTCAATTTCCCTCTTCAATCATACCATCTTTCTATCTAGTCAAGGTTGGATAGATTGATAATGAGAGTCTCCAAATAGTCATGAATTTTCTGATGCGATTACCCTCAAAATTTGCTCATTCAGTCTAAAATTTGAACTGTTCATAATTCGTTTTGGTAATCAAGCTGTTTGTAAATTAGTTGAGCAAGTTCATAAGCTGGTTCTGATAAATGCAAGCGTTTATGGAGAAGGTACTGGATTTATGATAAAGCTGCCTAAAATGGTGGCCTATGGCAGGGTAAAACACTTGCACACCTAGAATTCAAGGAAACCGAAATTATTTTGCAAATTTTGGTTCTTCTAGTTCATTAATACCATTCGAATTTTTAGTATAGAGCTACGTCCTTGATTCTAGCTAAGAAGTTATCTTGTTCAGGTCTCCTTGTTGAAGAACACACACACACCAAATACAACAATAAAATATACAATAAAGAAAAGACTAAAATATTTGGTTTTGCATTTTTGCCCTCAATTTTAACACATATTTAACAGAAGGGCCAAAATTGGAAAAAAAAAATAGTTAAGGGACTAATTTTGGTCAAATTAAAAGTCAAGGACAAAAATTGATAAAAGTCAATAGTCAAAGGACCATTTCTGGAATTAACTCCATTATAAATCTATTCCACTTTTGAAAGTGGTCCCCAATTTTACATCATTTTAAAAACTTATTATCTTTTTCAATAAATATTATTTTCTTTTAAAAATTATTAATTTATATAAATATTAAAGGCTCAAGTGTCATTCCGCACAATGAACCAATAACGATTTTTCATACCGCACCCTGGCCTTTCTTAAGTGCTGATTCGTTGCACAAATCATTAAAAAAAAAAAATCGCCTAGAACTTTTTGCAGGTTTCCTTCAAGTTATAGGTAATAATATGCTAATATGGAGGTGTTTTGTTATTGACATGTTTAAATAGGTATTGAAAGGATGATATGGCAACCATTTCATCATTTCACTTGAATAAACAACCCTAATTTCCTAAAATATCCAAATTATTATGACTCTATGTATTTGAGTTTGATTATGATTCCCTATCTCAGTCCCTATGAGACTTCCTTCTTATATATATACCTGTAATATGTACATTGTGTTATTCTATTCTATACACAACTCTATTAGCTCTCATTTGGTATCAGCTAAGCTAGAGTTTTCTTTTCAATGGCTGACAGATCTGTTAATTCCTCTGAACGGACCGTCTCTAATGCTCCTATCTCTTTCGCTACGTCGGTGATTAATTCTTTATCCACCGCTCACCACTTCATCATCATTAAGTTGACCTATAAGAACTACCTGTTTTGGAGAGCCCAAGTTGTTCATTTTCTTGATGGTCACGATCTTCTTGGATTTGTTGATGGAATGAATCCATGTCCTCCAGCCACCCTAACCGGCAAGGGCGATGATACGACAACCGCGCAGCTCAATCAGGCGCATCGTGCGTGGGTCCGACAGGACAAAGCCTCATTGTCCATGTTGATGTCGCCCTTCTCCGATGAGGTAATGCCTCTCGCCATCGGCCACCGCACCAGTCGGGCTGTCTGGATTGCTGTGGTTGGTGCACTTGCGTTGTCTTCCCGCTCCCGGGGTCTCAATCTATTCGGACAATTGCAAACACTTGATCAAGGAGACATGTTTGCGGTTGACTACATCGGCAAGGCTAGGGTTTTGGTGGAGGAGCTCACTCTTGTCGGCCGACCTATGACACTCGAAGAGCAAAACCTTTACGTTCTTTGGGGGTTACGGCCAAAGTTCAGGGGTCTCGTATCGTCTCTCAACGTACGCGGCCAGCCTATTACTCTCCAAGAGCTTGCGGATCTCTTGGGCGTGGAGAAATTTATGACGCGCGGTGGTCCCGGAGGTGGCTCGCCGACTGCTTTCACGGCGCAAAAGGGCGGCCAGAAAGGGCGCGGTAACGGTGGCCGTGGTTCCGGCCAGAACAGCGGTCAAAACAGCGGCCAAACCGGCCAGACGCGTGGTGGTAGCGGCGGTCGCCGTGGTTGAGGACTCAACGACAACTGGCAACCCAAGTGTCAACTTTGTCATGTGTTAGGTCATACTGCTTCCACATACCATCTTTGGTGTGCCAAGGATCCTTAGGCTAATGTCATATTATCAAGAAATTCCTTCGGATCCTCAAGGTTCCCACACCTGGCTTCCAGATACAGGTGTCACTAATCATGCCACTCTGGACATCGCTGCTCTCTCCTTCTCGGAATACTACAATGGTAATGACACATTACGTGTGTCATATTGGTCATGCTACCTTTAATTCCCCCTCTAGATCTTTTCAATTGTCTAATATCCTTCATGTTCCTAGTTTGTCTACATCTCTGTTGTATGTGCAAAAATTTTCATCAGATAATAAGGTGTTCTTTGAGTTTCACTCATCTTTTTTCGTTGTGAAAGATATCAACGCCAAGGAAATTCTTCTACGGGGTAATAGTTCGGGGGGGCTTTACAAGCTTCCCATTCCGAGTTCGTCACCAACTGTGTTTCTTTCGGCTAAAGCCTCAGCATCTGTGTGGCATGATCGTTTTGGTCATCCTCATCAACGAGTTCTCAGTCAAATTCTTTTGTCTTGTTCTGTTAGTTGGTCTAGCAGTAATATCTGTTGTTCTTCCGGTCTATGTAATGCATGTCAGTTTGGGAAATATGCACGGTTTCCCTTACCACGTGTTGAGTCCTCTAGTTCAATTCATGTGTCATTGATTTAATTTACACAGACATTTTGGGACCTGCTCCTATTCTTTCTACAAATGGATATCGTTATTTCATTATCTTTGTTGATAACTACTCTCGTTACACTTGGTACTTTCCTATGTCACAAAAGTCTGATCTCTATGCTATCTTTGATAAGTTTCGGGCTATGGTTGAACGTTCATTCAATCGCAAAATTAAATCCATTCAGTCTGATCTAGAGCTGAATATAAAAAGTTACACACCACCTTGGCTCAGTTAGGCAATCTTCATAGACAATCATGTGCGTATACTCATGAACAGAATGATCGTGTCGAAAGAAAGCATAGACACATTGTTGAAACTGGTCTAGCTCTCTTAAGCCGTGCCTCCATTCCTTATAAGTTTTGGGATTATGGTTTTTAGACTACGGTTTATTTAATTAATAAAATGTCGTCCGCTATGACAAATAAATCAAGTCCTCATCTTCTATTGCATAAATCCCTTCAATCATATTCTTTTTTTCGTGTCTTTGGTTGTCTGTGTTATCCTTATTTGTGTCCCTACAATCGTCATAAGATGTGTTACAGGTCCTCTCTATGTGTCTTCTTAGGCTATCCTGAGTCATTTAAGGAGTATAGGTGCATGGACCTTCAGACAAAAAAGGTATATATATATATATATATATATATATATATATATATATATATATATATATATATATATATATAGTAAATACCACCTATGGTCCCTCGAGTTTGGTGGCATCACCATCAATGGTCCCTAACTTCCGTAATTACCATCCGTCATCCTTCGAGTCGTGAAAAGTGACTTGCTAACATCCTTCTGTTACTTCTTTCCGTCTCAGCCGTCAAATGCGAGGGTATTAATGTCATTTGCCTTGGCTTTGAATTTTGATTGTTGTGCTTGACTGAATTTCCGGTTCCCCACGTGGAGATGCTTGTTGTTGCTCCTCCATCGTCGTCGTCCCAGCAGCTTCATCGCCTTCATCGGTGCCGATGCCGTTTTACTCGTTCATGGAGGAAACAGAGTAGCTATCGTCTTCCTGAAGCTTCTTCTCGGTCAAATACATCTCGCACATGTCTTCCTCGTCGCCGTCGAGTAGATGCTCCAGCTCGTCTCGAACCTTCTAGACACGGCCCGTTATGGCGACCAATCCCGCCGGAATTGAAGGGATGCCGTTGTAAGAGAGAGCAAGCGAGAGACGAGGAGAAACGTGGGTGTTTCCTTAGCTTGGAATTGAAGGGAACATGAATGGTTGTTTGGCATGCAGTTAGAAACTGAATTGAACCAACCAATTCGATCAACATCGTAACTCTCACTCTCTCTGTCATTTTACTGTGAGTGGACGAACCAGAGACAAACACTCCTAGCTTAGTCAATCACTTGGTCTCCCTAATTTTGTTGCTCCGATGACTCATCACTGCGACATCCAACGTTCGATCTTCTCCGCCGTCCATTGGGCGGCGCCACCACCAACTAACCAACCAACCATTTACTACACTCATCACCTCCGATCCTCCCACTTGTCACCCTCATCACGTACTCGATCAATCTCACACTCCTAGCTACCTACCAAACTAACCCATTACCCATTTCTCGATCTCCACCACGAACCAATTAACCATGCATGCATTTTAATTTCCTCCTACGAGGTTCAATTCATTTCGCTAAAAACTAGGACTAACCTTAACTCTGCATGTCCTCCCATATATCCTGACCTCACATCCACACAACAGTTTCAACTACAAGAACCAACTTAATTATTGTGTCATCTATCTTTCTCTCTCTCTCTCTCTCTCTCTCCATTGTCTTTATTTCAATTCTTGAATCTTAATTGTAAATATGGCTTGTATTGCTCAAGAAGGGGGCAGCAATCGGCGAGCTTTAAGCATTATTGCAGGGTTTGTAAGAAGGGGTTTATGTGCGGGAGAGCTTTGGGAGGGCATATGAGAGCGCATGGGATCGGAGATGACAGTGCCAACATGGAGGATGATGATTAGGCTAGTGATTGGGAGGAGAAGATCGATGAAAGATGGGGGCCCGGGTTTTAAGAGGATGTATCAATTGAGAGCCAATCCTAATAGGTTGAAGAGTGTTAGGATTTGTGAGAATTGCAGGAAGGAAATCTTTTCCTGGAAATCGTTTCTGGAGCACGGGAAATGCAGCTCCGACGACGCCGAGTCGCTCTTATGTTAATTCCAAGCCGTCGCCGTCGCAGCGGCTTCATCGTCATCATCCGTGCCGATGCCGTTTTGATTGTTCATGGAGGAAACAGAGTAGATATTGTGTTCCTCAAGGCAAATGACATTAATACCCTCTCATTTGACAGCTGAGACGGAGGAAGTAACGGAAGGATGGTAACATGTCATTTTTCGTGACTCGGAGGATGACGGATGGTAATTACGGAAGTTAGGGAATATATATATATATATATATATATATATATATATATATATATATATATAGATTTTGGTTCATGTGAGGTCAGGTCTTCCCGTGCGGTCAGTGCGACATACACCATTAGGTATACATAAATGCACCATACGTTGTTCGAAAATACACCAGAATGAAATGCCAAAAAATACACCACACAAAAAAAAAATACACCACACATAATGGTGTATTATCGAACACTGTATGGTGCATTTATGCATACCTAATGGTGTATGCCGCACTGACCGCACGGGAAGACCTGACCTCACAGGAACCTAACCCTATATATACATATATATATATATATATATATATATATATATATATATATATATATATATATATATATATATATATATATATATATACAGGCATGTTCGGTTTGATGAGAATGTTTTTTCAGACAGTTTTGCAGGCACCACCAGTTCAAACGACTCAACCATGGGCTGAGTCTGTACTTGTTCCAACTTCATCATCCGTCTTGGCTCAACCGATCTCGCCTGAACTGGTCTCGACCAGCAGCGAATCTAGCCAGCCAGAACCGGCCCAGGAGGGGCCCTCGGTGGACACCAAACCTGCTGTCGCTCAGCGACGCCGTGGCCGACCGAGAGGTCGGTCGTCGCGCCCCACGGTTCGGACTCACTCCATGCCCACTCGTAGTCACGCTGATGGTCCTCTCTTGACTCTATCAGTCCAGGTTTGTCCCACTGAACCTACTTGTTATACCTAGGCTGTTAAACATGATGAATGGCGCAAGGCTATGGATGATGAATTTAATGCGCTTCTTCAGAATGAAACCTGGTATCTTGTCCCATCTTAGTCTAATATGAATATTATTAGGTGTAAATGGTTTTTCGCACCAAAAGGAAAGTTGATGGAACAATCGATCGATACAAAGCAAGATTGGTTGCAAAAGTATTTAATCAGGTACCCGGTCATGATTTTTTTGACACCTTCAGCCCAGTGGTCAAATCGACTTCTATCAGATTACTTCTATCTTTGGTTATATCCTCTAGTTGGGTTATCAAACAGCTTGATGTGCATAATGCTTTCTTGAATGGGTCTTTATCTGAGACTGTCTATATGAAGCAACCACCGGGATACATTGATAAACAATTTCCCTATCATGTTTCTTTGTTGAAACGTTCCTATATGGATTAAAACAAGCACTACTACATAAAAGGACTTTAACGTCGATTTTTTGACCCCATTTAGCGTCGATTATCTTACGACGTCGTCCTTCGATACGTAATACATAAATGACATGACGTTGGTTAAACAATCGACGTCGTATTGTTTTTTTAAAAAAATAATTAATATACGACGTCGGCCTTTTAGATAAGGCCGACGTCATATATATTTAAAAAAAAATAATTCACTTAAGACGTCGGTTTATACAAATAACCGACGTCTTACGTTAAATATTTTTAAAAAAAAATAATACGACGTTGGATATTTACTAAATATCCGACATCGTATATTAATTATTTCGATTTTTAATTACTATGACGTCGGTGTTTCACTGAAACCCGACGTCGTATAGTTATTTTTGTTTTTAATATTAAAAATTATTTTATGATTTCTACCAAAACCTGTACAGTTTTACAGTTTCAATCCACATCAATTTTCAAAACCTGTGCAGCAATTTAACATTCAACATCAACTAATTTGAAATTAATATACGTAACACAATTCATTAAACTAATTCAAGATACGAAACATAAAACTAATATAAATAACACAATTCATCAAAACTACTAAACATCAAGCCAATAAACATAAACTAATTTTAAACGTAAAGTATCAACTAAGAAGCATTTTATTAACCCATTCATCAATAAGAAAGTTAGACCATTTGTCTCTAACTTCATCAATCTCTTGTTTGTTGTAGGGCAATCTTCCTTGTCTTTCCAAAATCTACAAAGTTCAAAAGAAATAAAAATAATAAATAAGTATTTTTAAAAATTTGAAGAAGAAAGATATATTATTAAATTACTTGCCTTATCCATTCCTTTGCCTAGGTTATTGGAAACAATTTCCAACATTAATTTCATCACATAATAACCACATTCGGTAGTTCCTTTTTGTATAGCACACTACATTTGAATTACAATAAAATTAAAAAAAAATTAATAAAAAACGATAAGTTTGCATGTTTTAAAAAGTGAATGAAGTACTTACCGAACATGTAGTCCATTTCGGTGGACGATTTTGTTTCTTTCCATTCAACATGTTTGTTGCAGCCATACACCTGTTAATATAAGACATAAAATATATGTAAATACTTGGTATCACTAGTTTAATAATAACTATTAATTATTACTTATATAAATTTACATACGTTTCCATTATACGTTTAATATCTTCACGCGGCCCATGACCAAGTGAATCAAACCAATAAATTTTATGTAGTCGAGGACAAATCGCCATCAGCATCCAATGCTCACTACAAATAAGTAATATATTAGTTTTAAGTGAATATAATATATAATAAAAATATATTATATATAAGTATTTTTATTTAAAACGCAATTAATACTTACTTGAGGACATATGGGGCTAAATATACAAATTTCCTCCCATATTGCATGGTGGCATTTATATACGATTTCTTCTCATCTGTATTATTCATTATTTGTTGAGTCCAATATGGGTCTAGGAAGCCATACGTGTCTTTTGATGCCAACTCAAAACTAATGTAAATACCCCTATTCACAAACACAACCAATTATATATATATTACTAAAAATTATGATGATATTATAAATATAAAACTATAATAAACAAATAATACTAAAGAACTTATTACCTTATAAAGAACTGAAATAGAGAAACATCGATGTTCTCCATATTTAAGAAACGCATTATCTCCACACTTTCAAGGTGCAAGTCATACTCAATGTTGCCCATAATACCACGAGCCACATGGATCATAAGATTGTGTTCAAGACGGCTAGCTATTGTAAAGGCCTTTTTGCATACAACAGTCAAAGAATCTGGATCAACTATAATGAATTCTTGATGTATTGATTGCGCACCCGATTGAAAAGTCAATTTGGTCTTTTCTTTAAACTATGAATTATAAGACAAGTAAGAATTATTATTTTAAAAAGTAGATTACTTACTATTTTAAAATAGAAATATTTATAATGTACATACCGCATCAGCTTCAGTACATAACTCCACCAGCTTCTTTGGCCAAATAATAAAGTGTTGAATTGCATCACCTACAAGTTGAACCTCACTAGTGGGGATTGGTACATGTGCACTTGGATCACGAACTTCATCTATGCTCACCTTCACTTGATTTACATCCAGTATAACCCCATGAACCTGTTCACCACTGTAAGTTGTCCCATATGCCACTAGACGTCTAATTGGATCTTCTAAGAACAATTGACATCGTGCACCTAACTGCATTAATTTTTAATTAAGAATCATATAAATTGTTATTGATAAATAATAATAAGATTAACTATAAACGACTACTTACAGCCGGTAAATTAGCAAAAGGGTCCGAGGAACTAGCTTTGTCACTTCGAGATTGTGGCCCAGTATCCACACATACGTCATTCCCCTGCTTTGATTGTATAGATGGGTGAACATGAGTCTGCACAGGAGTCCGTAGAGAACCAAATTGCAGCATCATCTCAGTCATTCGTGCCTCAAATTGCAGAGTTAATCGCTGACTCAATTCTTCCTGCTGAGAAACATATTGCTGATTTTGTTTTTCTAACGCTTGTGTAACAGCAGCATCAACACGTGCATCAATCAATCGTTGAACATCTTCAGAAGGCTTTTGGTAACGTTTTGCATGGCCAAATACACTTTTGATGCCATGTCCTCTTCCCATGGCTCTAACACGTCCACAATGCTCATCAGTACCTAATGCAACAGTCAATGAATCTTGTCTTCCATCCTCGACAAACTCTCCTTGAGAAAATTGCAACTCAAGAGCATCCTAACATATATAAAAATTAGTAAATAATAATTACTATTAATGTAGTAAATGACAACTTATTTACTTACAATTTTTTCCGCCACTAATTTAGTTGATTCAGTGCGAAAATTTCCTGACTTATCCATTCTTGCTTTCTTCCACTTTTCAGCTCTACGTAGAGGACTTGGAGGAGTCATTGTATACGACGGATCTGCATTATCAACACATGCTTGTTTTTCTTTCAACTTCTCATCCATCATCATCTTCTCCAACCTTTTATAACCTCCTCGAGCTAAAAGATGTGGATGAATATTCTTAGCTTGTATGTCTTGATATTTTTTTCTTTTTGCCTACATAAATACAAAATATTAATCAAACTCATTCCATGTCCCTTGTTCAAAATATTGATAGAATAATAATGATACCTCATATGCTGGACCTGTATGCTGCTGAAAAAACTCATTCCATGTCTCTTGTTCAAGGAAGTCGAATTTTTTACAAGGGTTCTGACCTGCAAAAGAACCGTATATATACTTGCTAACCAATTTTGTTTTAAAATCTTTCCACCGATCACCCACATAGTTTATCCAATATTTCCTCATATCAATTGTGTCGGGAATATCATAAGTACTCTACAAAACAAGATTATTTATTAGTAAGAAATGTAATTATATTAACTTTTTGTATAAATCTAAATCTTAAAAAATAAAAGTTACCAGGATATCTTTCCAAATAGTAGCCTTAGTCTTTTCTGGGACATTCGGCCATTCATCTATTGTGATAGGAGTATTGATTCGTCCCACTAATGCAACATAACTTTTAAATGCACTGCCAGCTGGCCCGAAGACAGGTTCCAATCCATCAAGCTCAATTTGTTGTTTCCCCAAAGTAGAACGCTGAAGAAAGATTTTTTGCATACGAGTGGCACCCCTCGTCTTAGAAATAGTATTACTACTTTGAGTAGTATGAGTACCTTGTGTAGTACCATCATCATTTGCTGAATCCATACACCTGTTTAGAAAGAAAAATAATTAGAATATATAGAAGTATTAGAATAAGAAAACTAAAAACAGAATAAATACTTCATTAAAGCATTACATATAATAATCAATTCTCCCATATCCCTTCATGATGATCATCTCGTGATGCATGCACTTCATCTATCTCATCATCTACAATAGCGGGCAATAAACTTGAAGAAAATGGAAGTATTTCCTCAATTTCAAAACTAACATCTTCATTCTCATCTCTAGTAATTTGTCTCTTTCCATGAAGAACAATTGACCATTTTTTGTCACAAGGATTACTAATATAAAAGACTTGTTTTGCTTGGGATGCCATTATGAATTGCTCATTTTTGTGCTCTTCCCGATTAAAATCTACAAGTGTAAATCCTAACTCATCAACTTTTACACCATGTGTATTATCTACCCATCTACATCATAACACCGGCACCCTAAACAAAACATAATCAACTTCCCATATTTCTTCAATCATTATACCATAATATGACAACTCTGCAAACACAGGATTTGTATCTTTCGAACTACTGAAATGCATTGAATTTGCAACCAAAGTAACTCCACTGTTTTGCATAGTGCTCTTTTCATCTTAAGCTTTTGTATAAAAAGAAAACTCATTAATGTCATATCCATTATGACATATGACATCCAAACCAGGACCATGAGCTAACCATGAAACCGTTTCAGAAACATTATTCTCTTCAAGAACTTTATTTTTGAACCAACCAATAAAAGTACGATTATGTTCGCCCATAATCCACATGTCTGTCCTTCTGAGATTTTGCTCTCTAATCAAGGCCTTGTGTTCATCTAAATACGGTTCAACTTCACTTGTATTATGCAAGATGTACAAGTGTGCCTGCTCAACATCTTCACGAGGCATAGAATTCACTTTGATTCCTCGAGCACCATTCTCAGCAATTCTTCCTTCATGTCGATACTTAGAAAGACCAATAGCCTCTACCCCTGCCAAATATTCAGTACAAAGCTCAGTAACCTTCTCAGCAACATAGCTTTCAACAATAGATGCTTCCGACCTATATCGGTTCCTAACATAACATTTTAATACTTTCATGTACCGTTCAAATGGGTACATCCACCTCAAATAAGCTGGACCACAATGTCTGATCTCTCTCACCAAATGCACAAGCAAATGAACCATGATATCAAAAAATGAAGGTGGAAAGTGCATCTCTAGCTGACACGGTGTAACAATAATGTCATTTTGCAATTCATCTAATTTGTCTAGATCAATAACTTTCCCACATATTGCATTGAAAAAGAAACAAAGTTTTATGATGGTATATCTCAACATTTTAGGCAAAATGCCTCTAACCGCCACTCTCTATAGTTGTTGCATTAAGAGATGACGATCATGAAACTTCAATCCCACCAACTTTAAATCTTGCATATTAACGAGTCTACTGATATTTGATGAATACCATTGTGGTACATTTACTCCACCTAAACACTCACAAAAAACTTATTTTCTCATTCCTTGATAAAGTATGAGCAGCCGGATGCAAATATGTTTCTTATCCCCGCAACGTGGAGCTAATGTACGTCGTATACACATTTCAACCAAATCCAATCTAGCATTGAGTCCATCTTTAGTCTTACCTTTTATGTCTAAAAGAGTTCCAACAAGACTATCACATACATTTTTCTCCACAGCATCACATTAATACTATGTCTCACATCTAGTGTCTTCCAATATGGAAGATCAAAGAATATAGATTTCTTTTTCCACAGATTTTTCTCATTTGTAGGTATCTCAACATTATATTTTGATCTCTTAACTCTTTGAGATAAACTTTTGAGTCTTACCAAAAGTAACATTGATGCATTCAACTCGTTGATAAACTTGATTCTCAGTCAATGGTTGTGGATACCCCATTGAATGCCTGTTTTAATTTTCGATTAGGGTAAAATTTATTAAGAAATCTCTGATGCCCCATGTAGACAGTATTTCTACCATGAACAAGTTGATGATAACAGGTATTATTTTCATATATGGGGCATGCCTTATGACCTTTGACACTATATCCAGACAGGTTTCCATAAGCTGGAAGGTCATTGATTGTGCAAAAAAGCATTGCATGCAACTTAAAATTCTCCTTCCGGTATGCGTCAAACACTAAGACACCTTCATACCATAATTGCTTCAAGTCATCAATCAAATGCGCCAAAAGAACATCTATATCATTACCTAGTTATTTTGGCCCGAAAATCATCAAGCATAATAATATATATTTGCGTTTCATGCACAACCAAGGAAGTAGATTATAAATTACCAACATAACTGGCCACAAGCTATGCTTGCTACTTAGGTTCTTGTGGGGGTTAATACCATTAGTACAAAGTAGTATAGATTTCTCGACTCATAGTCAAATTCATGAAATGCATTATCAAATGTTATC